ACATCATAATGTGCTGTAAGGTTTCATAAATTTGATAGTCAGTTAAACCATCTATGTTCCATTCATAGATAGTACGACTTTGGTAATGTTTCTGGTTTTGTAAGAAATTTTCTTCATACAAAATATCAACAGGAGTTGGTCTGGAATAGTAATACCTACTTGGGGCTAGGTAGGAGTGTCTATCAACTTTGGAGTCATACATGACTCTATTGATATCACTGGGTTGGTCATCTTGGAAATTAGCTTGTATTTCAGCTATTTGTTGAATAGTTAGTTCGGGAAAAGGTTCTTCTTTAGCTATTTGATCACTGGATAACATATTGACCTGAGATGGGCCGGTGGTCGAGAGATTAAGATTTTTAATCTTATCTATCAAAGTATTCATGAATTCGGTATTATCTCCTTTTGGTTCCAAATTAAAATTGGTAACCGTGGGATTAGGTTTGAGTAAAGCAGGCTGGATTCCAGGTTGTTTTATTGGTTGAATTTGACAATGCTCTTTTAAATGAACAACTGTTTCTTCGATTCGGGTTAATTGCTTCCCCATGGTTTGACAGTAAAGATTAGTATAATTATTCTGTTTGATAACAGGAATAAATTCTTTGACTGTCAAAGCATTGGAACTTTTAGCAGGAGGCTCCATAAAGGGAGAAATAACCAAAGGTTGACTGGAAGTTGTATCACTAGGAAGTAGTTCTAGAGATTTAGTAGGAGGATGGATGGAGGTATACATATTTCCATCTGTAGTGATCCAATTTTTCTGGTCCAACACATTTACTTGAGATATCGGAATTCCTATATGGTTTTTAAACAATAAGAGAAAAGGTTGGAGTGTCTGGTGAATTTCTAAATAGTCATAATACTGGATTTTGAAGTTTTGTATCTGTTCAGGAGTATGATTGGTAAAATACCAATTTCGGAAGTCATTATATTGTTCATGGTAAAAGTTTTGATTTAAGACTTTTTTATTCTCACTGCCTGGGCTGAAATCCATTAAACTTCAAAGTTCATATCACTGGCTGTAGGATTATAAGGTCCTTTGCTACTGGATGTCCTTGGCTCGTAAATACCATGAGGAATTTTATTAGGTGAAAACTGTAATCCTTGGACAATAGGGTCCATGGGATCGATATGATCCGGATTACTAGGTGGTTTGGATGACATTCCTTGAATAGCAGCTTCAATAGGTTCAACACTAGAATGTCTGGATGATTCAGGAAGATCTACTCTATAAGGCTCTCGGAACGAGGGTGTAGATCTGATACTAGCAGTAGACATACTCCTGGTGAGTTGTCTTTGCGGTCTCTGGAAGCGGAGGTAAACATTACCACCTTCAGTTTGAATAACATCTTCCAAATTGTGTCTAACAATTGGTTTAGGAGGAATAGCATGAGTAATCTGCCATCTTTCTGGAAAGGTAATTTTTTCCCATTCAATCATCTTGGGAACAGCTACCTGGCTACTGTAAAGATTAGTATTAATCAAGACAGTGTGACCTGCGGGACTTTGTTTCCTAATATATGGATTTAAGGTTGTTAAGACCTTTAAATATATTCTAGAAATTACCGCATATGGCGGAGATCTTGGAAGGTATTCATACCCATTGGATAACACTCTGAGTTCTAAAACTTTAGACAAATTTGCATTAGAAAGTGCTATACTTAAATTGGGATAAATATCAAAATATACTGGACCATGGGACAAACTGGTCTCAACAGCTCCCATTAGTGAAACTCTCCAATCAGTACATCGTCCATCTCTGAGGGTACATTGGAGACTGGTATTTTGACCTAGAAGGGTCAAGGGCTTGAAGGCTATCTGGACAAGTCTTATGTGGACATACTTATAATGTTCTAGAAAAGGATATAGATCCTGGAAATGAAGGAGATGTATTATCTCATCATTGTTCTGGATAGACATAGCATGCTCAAATGTTTTGATTATGCGTTTACTGGAAAAATCAAGTTTACCTATCTTATAGATGGTATTTGGTTTTACCTTCGGGATAGTCCACTTATCAAGAGCTTCCTTAACCTCTTGATAGGCGACTAGCTCTCTGGCTTCTGATGAAGAAGCGTCTGTATTGGCCACAGTTTGGGCTACTGTAGAGACTGTATCTACTATAGGTTCGGTAGACATTAGGATGCTTGATGACCATATATGTATAATTAATACAGAATAAGATTAACTATAACAAATAACAAACATGGCTTTGATACCAATAATAGTGCTTGCACAGGTTATGGCTAACACGTCTGTCAACGACTTACGAGACAAGACCTAACTGCACTTACTGCTAACGGTCAAACTCTACGCGACTTGGGTGATGTCCCATTAACCCTGAGTACCATTCATTTAAAACCTTTATTACTTGTACCATTCACTGAGTATCCAAGCTCACCCTCCCTATGTATATATGTAGGTAATAAGCAAGAAGTCGGCTACGCCGAGATGTGTGTTTGTATGTATGTTATGTCGGCAGTGAGGATGTCGGCAATCTGGAAGATTATGTTTCTTGACCCGTAGTTCATGTGTTTTGTACATGTTGGCTTGAGAGGCCCTTGATCAAGATGTAACATGTATTTTGCTTATGTTATATTCAAGATGTAAGACCATGTTAAAGATGTATGTCATTTCATTTGATCTATGCGCTGCTCTTATGGACCACTTGTATTGTAAATTATTGCTTCCGCACTTGTGAGCCCCATATATTTATACTCTGATTGTGTGTGAACTTTGTAAGTGGCCTTCGGTAATCTCGGATTACTGGCCATCACGGCACCATCCTACTAGGGGCGGTTTGGGGTCGTGACACCTACGGTAGATTAAAACACAACACATAACTTTACGAACCATAACGTCACATTGACCGAACATAAAACAAACCATCTCGCATATAAGCAATCAAAAAATAACCCAGAATGCCAAAGAAACATCGGCACCTTCAATCCAAACTTCCCGACACACCCACGCAAACCGAAAACCACACCCAACGACATTGATCCAACAACAAAACAACATATGAAACTGACCTGCAAAAATGTCACACAACATGTCAATAACATAGCAACGACACTGACTTGCAAATTTCCAAACAACACGTCAACACCACAGCACCAAATGCAACAACTGAATTTTGAAAAGCCATAACCCCTACAACAACGACCTACAATTCCATATCAGAAACACACATCAAATGGGTAACATCGTATAACCCAACAAATCACTCCACACAAACCCCAACAAACAAAAATGGAAACTAACACCATACATTAACAAACCCACCCAAAACATTAGGAAAAATCAAAAACAAAATCACATCCAAGGGCAAACACGTAAAGTCCACAATCTCCAAATCAACCTAATATAACATACGAAAAATAAAAATGACCAAATGCTTTGAAAGAAAACTTCCGAGACTAAGGCCTCGTTTGGCAACCGAACTTTTTAGCCAAAAAGTCAACAACCCATACCAAAAAGTCAAAGATTCTCCTTTCTCTCTACTTTTTGCACATCTTTTCGTAAAAAACTAAAAAGTCATCCTAAACATACTAGTTTTTTTAGCTCATATTTTAGCCAAATAGCCAAAAATTTACTAAATTAGCATGTTCCCAAACGAGACCTAAATGGAACAACATTTCCCCCTAATGAGATTTTTGAGTAATTTTTCCTACAAAAAAAAAAAAAAAAACAAAAAATCACAATTTCTGAACTAACAGAAAACTCAATTGTATGGATAGAATATTTTTATATATTAAACGTGATGTTTTCTTAGTTGATGATTGAAATTAATATTATTTATAATTTTAAGTTTAACGAAATCAAATCAAAATTCTATTTTTCGTAACTATCTATTTGCAACTCTGCCACACCAGATCAAATCTCTTTTCTTTTCTTTTCTATATATATATATATATATATTCTTTGAATTTTGTAACAAACTAAACTTGAAGTTTTCAGTTTTATCAATTTAAATTCTAATTTTTTGATTTATTTTCAATCTAAACCATTTATATATTTTCATTAGGTAAAATTGATAGAAAAGTGAATATTTTAATCATTAAACTAATGAAAAATAGTAGTTTAGAGATTTTATGTATAAATTACCTTTAATTTAATGGTTAAAATATTTTTTTTAGGTTGTGCTCGGTTGGGAGATTTGGGAAGAGATTTGGAAAGATGAAGAGAAAAAGTATGTGAAATGTAAATAAAATATATTTATATTTCACCAACTTTCACACACTTTTTCACTTTTCCTTTTCAAATCTCTTCTTAAATCTCTCAACCAAACACAGCATTAGTTTTACCTAACAAAAATAGATAAATAATTTAGATTTAAAGTAAATTAAAAATTTTAAATTTAAATTAATAAATTCAAAAACTCAAAACCTATTTTGTTGCAATATTCAGGCCAAGTTTGGGAAGACTAAATAAGTGTACTTTTTGTCTTTTTAGACTAAAAAGTTGAGGTTGAAAATATGAATGTTTGGGTTAACTTTTTGACTTTTTATGAAAAAATGTGTAATAAAAAATTGTAAAAATTGATTTGTAGGAGAAAATTAGAATTGGGAGTTGTGCAGCCGTAATTGTTGACTTTTGGTGAATAGTGATAACTTTTTAACTTTTTGAGTAACTTTTTGGCTTTTTGACTTTTTGGAGTGTTCCCAAACTTGGCCTCAAATTCAAAATTTTTTTTTTTTGAATAATTGTCCCAATAAAAATCAACAAAAAAATCAGTAAAACAAGAAGTTAATCGCACAACGCGGCCGCCTTAAAAATCCTATGGAGTTTGGATTCTTTCTTTTAGATTTTGGGGTTGTATTTTAACCAGCCAACCCACCGACCAACCAACCAACCAACCAACACACGGACGCCCGATCAGGTCAAAATTAGTTGAAAGAAAGTGAAGTGTGACTTCTCTACCTCACGCGCAAAGAGACGGCTTCTGTGGAGAGCAAAGCAAAGCCGAAGCACCGTCCTTAAAAACAAAAACAAAACAAACAAACAAACAAACAAACCAAAAAAAAAACCCAAAGCCAAAAGCCAAAATCCAGAGTCTTGTGACGTATATGCAAATGCAATCCCTCGCTTCACTGCTGGGACATGGTTGGTGAGAAAGAGAGCGAAAGAGACAAAAGATCAAAGCAAGATCTCCCAACTGTTTCTAGCGTTTCTCACCTAACTCACCTGGTAATCTCCACGCACCTTCGTTCATTCCTCTGTATATCTACAAGCTTTCTATACCCTTTATTGTCAATTCACTGTTTTTTTTGCTTTAATCCTTTTATTCGGCTAAAGATTCTGTTTCTATTCCAATGTTTCAATACCCAGATGCTATAACATCCTCTTTCGAGTACCCATTAACCTAAAATTAAATCTTTCTTGCTTAGAACCTCAAATCATACGATTCTATATCCATTTGTTCTTGTGGGTATATTACAAAATTTGAACGGACATACTTGGTTCTAGGTTTGATAAACATGGGTAGAAGAAGATTGCAAGGTTTTGAAGATAATGGTGGTGGGTTGTTCTCAAATTCTGGAATTGGGTTTCTATGGTGTCCTCAAGATGAAGGTTATCACCCTGGTGGCTTATTTGCTAGCGTTGGGATGGGATTTGGGATATCCCCAAACTCTCCTAATTCAACTAGCAGTGGTCTAAACCTTCCATATTTGAAATTGTACACAAAATACTTGTTGCCTGAGCCTGCTTTTCAGTTTGTTGGGGTACCGGAACTGGTGGCAGGGGAAGCGGAGGAGGTAGGGGAGGATGAGTTGTTGTTGAATAATAATAAGAAGAAGAAGAAAAAGGGTGGTGGTTCTAGATTGAAAATTAAAATGGAGAATTCGTCGCTGAGGAGGTTGATGAGTGGGGCAGTTGCGGGTGCAGTGTCGCGGACATCAGTTGCTCCATTGGAAACAATAAGGACGCATTTGATGGTGGGGAGTTGTGGGAACTCAACTACAGAAGTGCTTCAGAATATCATGGAGACTGAAGGATGGAAGGGATTATTTAGGGGGAATTTAGTTAATGTTATCCGTGTTGCACCGAGCAAGGCAATTGAGGTATGAGAAATCCAGTTTTTGCTTTCTTTGTGGGCGTGCACACACACAAACTTGGGTATCTACTTACATGCATCCATCTATACACGTCTGCAACTTTTTTGTTTTTGAGTCTTGGTAGATTTTGTGGTGGTTGGATTTATTGTTTAATTTGATTATACTTTTTTGTTTTTTTCTAGTTTAGTGGATGGTACTTATTTAGATATTACAAAATAATATTATGAAAAATACTTCACTTCCCTCTGCTTCCTCCCAATTTTGGAAGGGAAGAGATGTGCTTAAAATGTTTGCACTCTTGACCCTCATAACCCCGCCATGCATTTTCATTCCCTTCCTTAAAAATAAACCAAACATGATATTAACTAATTCTTTCCCTCCAAATCCTTCACTTCCCCTCCTAAACTATAAGTCCAAATGGAGTGTTAAGCCCAATTTGTATAAGATATGATATTTGGTATTGTTTGATGATCATTGTAATGTTGCAACAAATTGTCTTTTGGTTGACTGTTTATGGGGGAATAACGAACCACTGGCAACTTCAAAAATAAATATCAATCTTTTGGAAAACTTTGAGTTTGACTTTTAATGTAACAAAGTTTTTCATTAATTTGTAAATATTTTCCCTTTCACTGAAATGTTATTTTCCCATTAACTTATATATTGCAAAGAACTTGATCTTTTAGCCATGAACTTGTGAAAATGATTTGTCTCTTTTGTTTATTATGATTGTTGAATGATTCAGTTCATCTACAATTATTGTTATTGTGTAAATTTTCATTTCTCATATAGCAGTTGCCTCCAACATTTGTAAATTTGTAGTTCATGGTCCACTAAAGTGACCATGTTGGTTAGTTTCAGGTTAACTTTGACATTAGACCAAAATTATGTTACTAGGACAAATGTGCATGCCTTCTTTAATATGAGTTTAGTTGTTTGCTTTTTACAACTCTATTTATTAATGGAACCCATATGGATTCATTCCGATAATTGCTATCATGATTATCTCTAAAGTGTAAAAATAAAGGTTTTTGTGCCCCAATGTGCTTGTGTTTTGGTGGCTCTAAGATAATGCATTGAGCATGTTGTCTCTTGGCTTGTGTGCTGAAGATATTTCATGGTAGCAGTACCGATCCTTTGACCACTCATGTATAATCTACAGAGGTACTGAAAATTTTCATGAGATATTTTTCTTGGAATTTCTGATTAGGCATAACATCTTTGGAAGTTTAAAGGAACATAGCAATAGATTCTTACGAGTATCAGTGGATGGTAAAATCACCATTATCATTTACAACTTGATGTATACCACCATAAACAATCATGTCTGAAACAAGTTTCTATAGTTAAAAACTATTAGTCAAATTCAAATTGAATGTGTGTGCGGCATACATTTATTTCCTTATGCATTTTTCTTTTTTCTGACTTCTCAATGCCATTATAACTTTTTTTCTCTCATCTGTTGTGTTGATTACTTATTTCCCTTGAAATTGAACTTGTAACAGTGAAAATGGTACTCTTTGAACTGTGCCCTTTCTCAGGCAATATTTACTTTTGGACTGTTCTTGCCCAATATAATGTACTTATCCCCTTACCTCCAAAGATATTTCACATGCTCGTCATTTTAATTGATGCCCTGGTAACAATAAAATTTTAGTTAAAACCTGCCACGTTATTGTGGGTGAATTTCGGGGTCTCTAGCAAGGCTCTATGTGAATTATGTGTCTTGCAGAAAGAACCCATGCCTAACTTTTGTCATAAAACTTGCTATGGATTTGCTGCTAAATGAAATGAAGGATATTCTATAGTTTTCATAGGATTGGAGCTGTTAAGTAATATTCCATGCATTGTTGTTTTGGCTTTATGGTGTCCAATTTCATGCATGTGTGCTTAGGTTCTTAAATAAAATTCCAAATGCATTCAAGAGGATTGAGGCTCCTTTTCCCTGTAGTTTGATTCAAAAATCATATTCGTCTTTAATTGTTTTCAAAGTTTATTGTAGATTGTTCCAATTGTTTGACACTCTTCTCTGCTTGCAATCTTTATGCAGTTATTTGCTTATGAAACAGTTAAGAAGCAATTGACACCTAAACCTGGAGAACAACAGAAACTACCAATACCTGCATCTCCAATTGCAGGTGCTATTGCCGGGATTAGTTCTACTTTATGCACCTACCCTCTCGAGTTGCTCAAGACTCGACTAACCGTCCAGGTCTAAATAAAAGCATCAACATGTCACATTTTCCTTTCTTTCCCTTTTTTGTATTATTTTTAGTATGAAGCTGCTTTATCTACGTTACTTACAAATATCCACCTATTTGCAGAGAGGCGTATACAAAAACCTCTTCGACGCTTTTCTGAAAATTGTCAAAGAGGAGGGACCTGCAGAACTATACCGGGGCCTCACCCCAAGTCTGATCGGAGTAGTCCCATATGCTGCCACCAATTATTTTGCATACGATACATTACGAAAAGCTTACAAGAAAGTTTTTAATGAGGATGAAATCGGAAGCATTGCAACCCTCTTGATAGGATCAGCAGCTGGCGCAATCTCGAGCAGCGCAACTTTCCCACTTGAGGTGGCTCGAAAGCACATGCAAGCCGGGGCTCTCAATGGAAGACAATATAATAACATGCTTCATGCCCTCGTGAGTATACTTGAACACGAGGGGGTCTCGGGCCTGTACAGAGGGTTGGGACCGAGCTGCATGAAATTGGTTCCTGCTGCTGGGATTTCTTTCATGTGCTATGAGGCATGTAAGAAAATACTAGTTGAGAAAGAAGATGATCCATAGATCGGCGAAAATCAGGTGAGTTTTTGGAGTTTCATTTGAAGTCATTGTTTGCAGTTGAGACACTGGCATAGGGTGAATTTATCACATCTTCTTCTTTAAGTTATATAGGGTTCTAGATTTTGTGAACTGATGAGAAGCAAATTTTGGAACCTAAAATTTCATTGATATACATTTTTCATTAAAAGATAACCAATTGCTTAATTGGGTTGGTTGTGATTTATTCTTTTCTTCTTAGTAATGTGAGATCCAATTTTTCAGGCTACGAGAGCTTTCACCGTTAAGTTTTCTTCTAATACAGTTTAACTTTAATGTCAAATTCTCAACAATGAAGGAACCAAACGCTCATCCTCTTTCCTATATATACTTGCAAAGAGAGAGAGAGGGAGAGGGAGAGAGAGAGAGATGCAGATGATGGTGGGGCTATAATTGAAGGGTAGAAAGGTAAATTGATATTTTCATTCAACAGTGTTTATGGGGAAATTCTATTTACATATTGCACTTTATCTCAGTACACACTATTTGTATTGTTTGGATATCAACTTTGAACAAAAAATAAGCGTTTGGATATTCGGATATCAATTATTGAATAAAATTTTTGTTCGAACAATTGGTTTTTGTTTAGTAGTTGATATCTGAACAATTAATTTTTTTATTTGGAAGTTGGTATTTGAGAGCATCTCCAACGGTTCAGTAAAATTTTCACCAAATCTGAGTGAAAAAAAGGGTAATTTTCTCAATTTGATACGAGCAGTTCCACTCGTTCCACTGTAGCATGCATCAAAACAAAGGGGACGTCCGGTGGAATGACTGGCCGGTCGACCGGGTAGCCAACTCAAAATTTTTTTTTTTCTCTCTCCCTTTCTGTTCCCAATTCGTTTATTATTTCTTTTTCCCTCCATTACATATTTTCCATTTTTGGTTGCCCCCAATAATAATTTCCTTCCAAAACTTAATATAAACACATTATCCATATACCATATACCAGACAACTGGTACGTTATATTTGAAAGGCACTATAACTGAAAGAAAGCAGAGCATAATGAGTATCTTAAATTCCATAATGTTCACTTTATTTTCATCCTCTTCTTCTTCCTCATCCTCTGATGATGAGTCTGATGATGAAAAAATGGTCACACTTTTAGAGGCTTATGAGATGAATAATGCTAATATGATTTAGATTCTGCAATCAACTGATAGATCAAATAAAAGAGGTGGTTCTGTTGTAGGCCATAAGTACATATGTCGCGATAGAAAGGAGAGTCACGAGCGATTGTTTATGGATTATTTTGCGGCAAATCCAGTTTATTCACCTATAACATTTCAGAGACGTTTTCGAATGTGTCGTCTTTTGTATCTGTGAATTTTGAATGCCATCGAAGCACACAATCCATATTTTGTTCAAAACAAGATGCAGTTCATATTCTTGGATTGTCTCCCCAAGATGACTTCAGCTATGAGAATTTTATCATATGGAGTGGTAACAAAAGCAGTTGATGATTATATACGTATTGGGGAAAGCACTGCAATTTAAAGTTTGCAACACTTTTGTAATTCAGTAATTGAAATCTTCGGACCAGAATATCTGAGATCTCTAACACCAACTGATATTGCTAGATTACTTACTATTGGGGAGGTTCGGAGGTTTCTGGGTATGTTGGGAAGTTTACATTGCATGCATTGGGAGTGGAAAATTTGTCCAAAGGCATGACAAGGTCAATACGTAGACCATCAAAAAAAGCCAACCATCATTCTTGAAGCAGCAGCTTCTTATGACTTATGGATTTGACATGCATTTTTTGGAATGTTTGGATCACACAATGACTTGAATGCGTTGGATCAATCGCCCTTGTTTTTTGATCCTGCTCAAGGTAAAGCTCTTCTTATTCATTACACTATTAATGGACGCAGTTATAATATGAGTTATTACCTTGCTGATGGTATATACCCTCAATGGACAACATTGGTTCAAACAATCTCTTCTCCACAAGGAGCAAAGAAGCAACATTTTGCAATGATGCAAGAGTCAGCAAGGAAGGATGTAAAGCGGGCATTCGGAGTGCTCCAATCTCGATTTGCAATTATAGCTGGTGTTGTACGTTTTTGGGATCCGAAAATGCTTGGGAACATAATGAAGAGTTGCGTTATATTACATAATATTATTGTCGAAGATGAGAGAGAGGAGCACCTTGATTTCGATTATAAACTTTCATCAACTAACGCACTAGTACAACTGTCCTGTACTACTAACGACGACTTCCAATCATTTTTGTCTCGTCATTTAGGTATTAAAAATAAAGATGCATATCATGCCCTCTGTAATGATTTAATAGAACATATGTGGCATCTTTACGGTGAAAATTAAATTCACCACGTCGACGCGAACATGTAATTTTGCTTATTTTTTTGGAATGGGAGGTTGTCAGCTACTGTTTGTTGTTAGTGCTTTTTATAATTTTGTCAATATTAACCAAGTACTTGACAAGTTATGTTCTGATGTTCTATTCTGATAATCCAATTCATAAATTTGACAATTGATAAATGTTCTCTGCTGATTACCCAATTCATAATTTATTGATGTTGTCTTCTTATATATATCCGCATATATTAAATTACCAAAGAAATACAGTTTTTAATAACCATGTCTTAATCAGTTACAAAATAATTACTAAAGGCTTACTGATGTTGGAAATCTTTTATTTAAAAATTCATTCATAGATTTGGAAATTCATTTATTCAGTACATCATGAATATTCAATACCTCATTAATTTGACAAATAAATGAGGCTGTACAATACAAATTTAACTACTCAATTTGTTTTCAGATGTGGCATACGAGCCTCATTTTGATGGAAATTTAAATTTTTATCAACCTTCAATTTATTCGTAGTGCCACAAAAGTAACCTACCTATTTGAACCAGTTCGCAAGCCAACCAAAAATTGAAGAAGATTGAAGCAGCTATGCATGCGCCGATCGACCGGTGGGTCAACCGGCTGGACGCAACTATGCATGTGTCGATCAATCGGTGGATCAACCGGTGGGTCAACCGGCCGGTCGATCAATCGGTGGGTCAACTGGCCGGTTGACCGGTGGGCCCCATCTCCAACGTAAACTCATAGTGAAATGGTGAAATCTCACGCAGGCCCTCAGTTTGATGAAACTTTTGCTCCATTCTTAATTTGATATCAGTTTGGTGAAACCATTGGAGAGAGAAAAAGTGACTTTTTTCATCAAATTCAAATTTGATGCTCAATCTGATACAACGTTAGAGACAGTCTGAGTAGTGTAAATGATGTGTACTGATTTATGGAGAGCCTCTAAAATCACTCCAAATGTTGTTGGACATCCACCATTTCTTGAATTTTATTTTGTTTATTTTATTTTATTATTTTTAATACCATTATACTCCTTTGCTAAGTAAAGAAACTCTTAAATTTTTTGGACATCTACCTTCTCCCAAACCTTACTTTGGTCACAAACAACTACCATCCTACCACTACAACTCCACCACAGCCCCTCCACCATTGAAAGCCCCTCCCTTCCTCCAACCACCTCACTCTCTCCTCTGCCTCCCAACCCCCTTCACTCACCAATGTGAACCTTTGCAAATCGAGAGAGAGAGAGAGAGAGAGAGAGAGAGAGAGAGAGCAATGGTTGCCATAGCCAGAGGAGGTGGTGGCTGTGATGGGTGTCGGGAATGAGGTGCCAAAGAAATGGAATGCCAACAATATTTTTGGGGCACATTTGGAAGCTCGTTGTTTATGGCATTTGGTGAATTAGATACTTAAAGAGGGGTGAAGTGGAGATTTAAACATTAGGGGCAACTCATAATGGGTCATAGTTGAGGGGGTTTACTGTACTAAAAAAAATATGCAAAATTCGCATGAAAAATGCAAACACTGAGTCGTGCAATGGATTTGTAGAAGAAAATGCGTGCTTCAGTTACAAATCAGTTTAAAGTAACTGTCATCTTTTCATATTCTATGTGAATATGCAGGCATCAAGACAGCTCCAAATTTGAAAACTTACACCGGTGTTACCTCATTTGCTGGAGAACAAATAGGTCTAAAATATTGATGATTTTGCAAATTCTGAGAAGATATTATAGCCTACAACTCCACAGCATATCTCAGCCAAGGAAATGATATAACAAGAATGAAGCTAACATAACTTGTAAATGAAATATCCAGTGATTGGATTGAAGCAAATTCCAAGTTTGCTTTTTCTAAACTCCTTTTTCTCTTGCACTTCTTCTGACAACATGCATATCTTGGTTTCTGCACCACATGCTTGGAAAGAAGGCATATGTAGGCTGAGTTATTACTATACTTCCATATTCAAATTATCTTTTGTATTTTTTTTTTTAAACGATGAGAACCCCTTGAAAGGAAGGGTCATATTGGACCTACAGTACAGGGTAATCTTGGGATATCTGTAATTTATGTTATATGGATTCAAGTACGGGTGTCGGGTGCGAGTATATATCTAAAGGTCAGATTCATCAAATTATAAATTTAAGGATACGCAAACTCAGCAAAAAAATATCATATTTTTGTATTTTTAATCAAGTATGTGAGATAAAATGATACCATGTGTAACTTACAGTGTCAAAAAGGCATTTATAGTAATTATACAAGAAAATGTACATCTAATAATAGTGTTATATACAATTATTTAAGAAGTATCGTTGAAAAGTATCCAACACATTTCTCATGCCCTTATCCAAGTGTCGAGTATCTGACACAAGTATTTGATTTATTTTAAAGAGTTTATGTAACATGGTTTGTAATCATTCACAAGTTACAAGCAAGGACGAAGCTAGAAATTTGTTCAAAGGGGACCAAGATAAGTGTAAAAAAGAAAGTTCAATGCACAAAGCTTCCCCATTGCAGAGTTTGAGAATGATCAAATATACACAACCTTATCTCTGTATGCAGAGAAGCAATTTTCATGATTTAAACTCATGACGCCTGAATCACAATACAACAACCTTACTAGTAATCCTTGTACCAAGACTCGCCCAGGCCAAGCGTAAGGGGGGAAAAAAAATACTTTTGGAGGGTCATCCCATATATATTGTAAGAACACTCTTGAAATAGATGGCCAATTAAGAATTTTTTCAAAAACTTTTAGGGATACATTATAAGAATATTTTTGAAATATAGGACCACTAATAAAAAATTTGTCAAAAAGTTAAGGGAACCATTCCGTACATTAATGAAAGACACTTAAAATTAAAGAGTAATAGTAAAATTTTTAAGAATTTACAGGAGGCCATGACTCCGCTAAGCTATTCATAGCTTCATCCATGGCTACAAATATTAGATAAAGACAAAGCATCGACCAAGGTTGTCAGATTCAAATCTTCTGACTTTATCGTTGGTCCCAAACTTCCCTTAAACCAATTGAAATACCTTCTCAAAACCAATATGTTTCTACTACCATATCTGCATTTCTAACAAATTTCAACTACGATGCGAATTTGAATATTGAAAGGGTTAATTTGATTAATTTGATAGTGTGAATTTGAATGGATGAAGTTTCTTTGAATTTGGGGTTTGATATTTCATTTGCAGAGTATAAGGTTATGAAAACAAGGTACAGCATAGCATCATACCCCATAAATAATTAAATTCCCAACAATATATACCACTTGATACAAGAGGTGAAGTGTATATTCCTGGACCATGTTTGTTTGGAAAGACATAATCTTGGAATTAGATTAAATTATCGAACAAAATACATAATTTCACGTTTGACAAATAAAATTGAGATCCGACCAAGTAGTCCAATCAGTCTAGATCTCCCCCCCTATGGGAAACTATTGAATCCCAAGGGAGACGAAATGCAACATGGAAAATTAAAGAGAGATTCGAACTACTTGATTAATAACCACAAAATTGATAGAATTGTATCAATCATTTCTCATAATCCTAAGCCAATTCAAATATCGAATAGAATACATAATCCAACGAAATTGATAATCATCCTAGGATACCCAATCCAAAAGGATTGATTACCTTAGGACTAATAGTTAGTCATAAGAATACAAATCCCATCCAATCTAATCCACTCAAAACAACATGACCTTAGTTCTCAATCATTATCTAGTGAGCAAATCCTTTGGTAGAAGGCTGGAGAGGATCCAAATACTGGTTTTAGACCAGGAAAGGGGAACTCTCTCAACTTACTGCCTTAGATATCCTACATAGAGGGACTCATCATTCAGTTTCTTCTTGGCGTTTGAAATGCAATGACAACCAATCGCATCACACCCCCCACCCCCCAAAAAAAAATTTGCTGGTTTTAAACCAGGAAAGGGGAACTCTCTCAACTTACTGCCTTAGATATCCTGCATAGAGGGACTCATCATTCAGTTTCTTCTTGGTGTTTGAAAAGCAATGGCAACCAATTGCATCACATTAGGAGGGTTAAGGTCGGCAAGACTCCTCTCCCCAAAAACAAAATAAGTGCATCAATATTTCTATCTGGTGATCATTCAAGACTTTAATCCACAATTCCATGTTTCAGACTAGGACCACAAGAAATCAGAAATGAACTTTTGGTAGCTCATGCACTCTATGAACAGTTCTAGATACCAATAATGATATAACATTTATGTTCAAAAGAACTGTCTTTTTTACCATTCTCACCTCTCTGCAACAAAATTCTGAAAAGAACAACCCAATTTCTGCACAAGTGAGCAAACCATTGCAACACTCACTCAATTGCAGAGGTTGATTTGTTCTGTCCCTAGCTTTATTGGGTTCAAATTAGAAAAATTTCGTGCAAATATTCAAGGTCTAAACCAGCATACTTGGAATACATGGGGGAAGAATTGTCACTACAATGTTATTCTAACTTGCATAGGCCTTGAATTGAGAATGATTGACATAATCCCAATAACATTTCTAATATGGACATGTAAGATGGTAACAGCATAGAATACCTTGTGAGGTTGATTTGTTCTGTCCCTAGCTTTATTGGGTTCAAATTAGAAAAATTTCGTGCAAATATTCAAGGTCTAAACCAGCATACTTGGAATACATGGGGGAAGAATTGTCACTACAATGTTATTCTAACTTGCATAGGCCTTGAATTGAGAACGATTTACATAATCCCAATAACATTTCTAATATGGACATGTAAGAAGGTAGCAGCATAGAATACCTTGTACCCAAAAGGAAAAAGTATAATCTATATTTATTATTATAGTAAAAAAGATAAAATATGATAGAATCTCTACCCAGCTTAATACTGTAAAGCAGCTGCAGGAGAAGCATAACAAATTTATTTAGTACAATGACAATGTAAGATAGCAATGTTCGAGTGCAACATAACAATGACGTCTATATACATACTTCACTACCACAATCCCCATAGAAAAAACAATGGGAAATTGGCTTTATCAGTAAGAAAGACAAGTTCTTGATGAAAAATTCACTTGGTTACGCGTATTTCGAACATCAGAATCAGAAAGGTTCAGCAAACAAGTTAAAAAATTAAATAACAAATTTGAATCTGAATATGAATAGCAAGTGGTGTTTGTTTGTGTGTTCATAGGAAACAGTTTCACAGCTAACAAAACTCATTCTGGACCACTGGACATTAGACAACTATAATTAAAGAAACAGGTTAAAACTGCATTCACTCATACTACATTAAGACCAACAACCAAGAAACTAAAATAGTACCACTTCAACTCTGCTCTTCAGCTTCTCCAAGTTCTCTCTCCGCAGCAGCAGCTGCCATCAATTCATCAAACTCCTCAGTCTTCCCCAGCAATATCTCAATCTGTGAACTAGAAGACACAGATATTATCAACAGGTCAAGGCTAGATTATAACAAATTTTGCCCCATGAAGAGCAGCCTTCACCGACCCATAGGGCCACGGAAAAGCCCCCAACTTGAATTTGTGGAAGTGCGCAATTGCCATTGTTGCTGTCGCCTATTACATCTCAATCCTATGGCAGTGTATCGGTTGCTGTTGAGTTGGGCAAATGCTGAGGTGTCTTCACAGGGTGTAGAGGCGAAGCGGCAAAACTCTACATCTTTCGGAAGTGCTGAAACCAAGAACAACAAGTGCACAACCAGACAACCAGGTGTGTGAAATTCCCTACTACGTTCTACTTTCCTCTGTGTTCTATATTTTCTATTGGTGTTTTTGCGAACTAGAATTCCATTCAGCTTTGTATTTTAATGCTATTTCGAGATGGCTGGACAATCTGGTATGTAGATAGCTGCTTCCATGCTTATTTGTCTTCAAAGATGTGCAGCTATGTGGTTTCGATGTTCTTGTTTCTCTTTACTCTAATTTATGTGTAAATTATGCACACCACATGTTTGCTAATATGCCTATGAAAATAGAAATAGAAAATTTGCAGTTTTTTTTCCCTTACTTCAATATATATATATATATATATATAGATAAAATTATATCTCAAATGGTAGAAACTATTATTAACTCAACAAGAATTTCAGTTTCAATTCAAATGCTATTGTATAGATATGCTATTGTAAGGGTGAAACTCTAGGGGTTTGGTTTTTGTTTTGTTTTTTTTTTTGTGGTGATTTTTCTCTAATGAATGAAGTACATGTCTTCCTTTTTTCACTGTAAATATGCTTGGCTTTCTTCCTCTAATGAAACAGCGACTGTTTTTGATATTTGGAATATTTATGAATGAGCATTTTCTTTAATCATAATCTTTGTTTTCTGTTTTCTCATCCAAAGACTCTTTTTTCTCTATATATTCGTGCAACTTTCATCTCCAATCCTATAGTAGGTTTTGGTAGTATTCTTTCTCTATCGCAGCCTCCAACATGTGATTTTCCTTGGTTATTATCTGATCAAATCATACATCACTATGAATATGGACAATACTTTTCGTATATGTATGTGCCATATCAATTTCCATTTTTTAAAACAATTTTCATTCCATTTGTGTCATTTAAAGGAGCTATAATTTTTATCTTTATAGGAATGCATACGAGCCTTCATCAAGGAGAGTGGAGATACGGAGGTGCTGGAGCTGCATGTTCAAGACCCTTTTCATAGGCTGTTGCTACATGGCTTCTCC